ACACATTCTTTTCACATAAATGAGTACATCAAACAACATGGATGCACCCAAAGACCAAGCAGTGGCACATGCTTGATTATGTACTTGGTAATCGTAAATTCCAAAATAGCATTCATGATGTACGTGCTCATCGAGGCGAGACGGGCGGCATTGGAACAGATCATCATCTTTTGAGAGCCAAAGTTCGCATACATTTAAAATGTCGCAAAAAGAAATCAAAGACAGGTTGGTTAAAACTAGATCATACAAAATTGAACGACGGAAATGTGCTACCTGAATTTGAGGCGCAGCTAGCGAAACATTGTGAAAGCACAAAAAACGATAACAAGAAATTGTCTGTTGACGAGAAGTTTGAAAAACTCGCTGATTATGAACGCAAATAGGGCAATTACTATTTTGAAAAAGATAAGGGTTGCCAAAATAGTACTAAAGAATGGTTCACACCAGAAATAATGAATATTGTGGACAAAAATGCCCAAGCCTACGTACAATGGCAACTTCATCGCGATACGAGCGAGGAAAATAAATACAGGAATCACTATCGAACATTGGCCAAGCTAGTTAAGAACAAAGTAGAGGTTAAGCAACGTGAATATCAGGAGGAGCTGAGTGTTGTCATTGAAAACGCAGTGAAGGATCACGATCCAGCTACTGCATTTCAAATTATGCGACGCTTGCGCGGTAGTCGTTCGAATACGGAACATATAGCGATTCACGACAAAGATGGAAATGTTTTAACCAACAGTAAAGATCGGTTAAAAAGGTGGAGAGAATATTTTGATGAAATGTTCAACGTAAATACAGCGGTCAATGAACAAACTCTACAGCAAATTCCAACTTCTTTCATCGATCAACAAGAACTCTCCCGTCAGGATGCTGTACCGACTGTGGGTGAAGTTGTGAGACCAATCCAACAGATCAAAAATAGGAGAGCTCCAGGAAAAGATGAAGTAGCTGCAGAACTTCTAAAAGCAGGTGGTCTGCCTCTAGCAGAATGGATACATGAAATCATTCGCGTTATCTGGGAACACGAAGTCATGGTAAAAGACTGGACTGTAGCTGTCCTCATACGAATGTATAAGAATAAGGGTGATAAACGGATTTGTGATAACTATAGAGGTATATCCAAGGAGGAAAAAGCGGATCCCAGACCCCAGGATCCTGCAGATCCCGATGGATCCTGTGGATCCCGGTGGATCCCATTGGATCCTGCTGGATCCCATTGGATCCTGCTGGATCCCACTGGATCCCGGTGGATCCCGTCTGAATCCTGATGAATGTTTCCAAGTGTTTTTGAGACCGTATTAGCTTCCAATTTCTCTTGCTTAGTTGGGTGTGGGTGTCGATTAAGATCTGATGCAGTCAGAAATTTTATTTTTCGATAGGTTCTGTAAGTGTTTTTTCTCATTATTATCATTAGAAGACAGATTCTCAGAATTATTAGCCCCTTGTAGAATGTTGTTTTAAAGTTTATTGTTGCTGAACGATAAGCTAAAACATGTTAGAGAATAAGAATCATATATAATACATAAGAGTGAAATTTTATTCTGACAAAAAGAGTGCCGAAGATCAAATACTTCATCACTAGATCTCACGTCATTCAATTAGAGTTCATGTTGAGATAAGTGAAAAAATGATTAAGGTTTTGATTGAGACTAGTACAATAAAGTTTAGTGCGCTTCCTTTTTTATTTCACCGTTTCTAATCGTTGCATATATCACAATTATCTGTCACAATAACATTATTTCTGTCGCATACACCTATATTCGTCTCCAATAAGTACAATATATATATAATGACTATCGACTTAGATAATTTACCTGATGAAGCCCTTTTCTTCTCAAAAGATCAATGTTACAAATTTATTTAAAATTGTTTAGGTGTCGATGACTTGAAGTTAATGAAATTTTAACCAATTACAAATATTAGAACACTTCAATGTA